CTTCCTCAGGGATAGTTTCTGTGAATTTCTTTTTTTCCTATGAATGGGCCATATTTTACTATTTACTTATTTATTTATTTATTTTTTTTTGCTGTTGAATTACTGGGCATTTTGAATTTTATAATGTGATAATTCTCAAAATCAGATTCGTTTCTGTCCCCAGGGCTTGTTTCTGTTGCTTCTTGAGGACAACAGTCATTCATTTGTTTAGTGACTTTTCCAAGCTGTTTCCGCAAAGACTTGCTGTGTGTGGTTTCCCCTTCCATCAACAAAAAAGAAACAAAAAGAAAGAAATATATACTACTCTCCCAGACTTTGCAGTTTGATTCTGATCTAGAGTATGCTTTCAATGCTAGGCTATGCCATCTACTATGTGTAGCTTCTGAAATCTCTGTTCTGCTAGCTTGTATTCTTCTAGTGTTTTTGCAGATATTTTCTTGAACACCTAGGAACAAAATGAAACAAAGAAATGAAAAACAATAACATAAGAACAACAACAAAAAACCTCTCCTGGAGTCTGTAGGTTGGCTCCATTCTTTGCACTCCTTCTATGTTTAGCCTGGCAATTTATTTATAAATCTACCTTAGCCTTCACTTCCTGCTTTTGCTGAGCCTAGAGATCAGACAGCGTGAAAGCTTAGGGTTTTCTTAGGTCTTTTCTGATCATGCATCCTGTCCTGGACATGATTGTGGCTTTTGAAATTCTCCAGAATACTCATAAACAGGTGCTTTTGCATGACCTAATTAAAAAAAAAAAAAAAAAAACCAAAGGAAAAACAAATCTCTCCACTCAACATTTCCTCCCTTGCTTTTCACGGTATATTTGTGCCTCAACCATAATACTTTGCCCCAGGTGATTGTTAATTATTCATTAGTCTTACAAGGCTTTTGAGAAATGCCCGCTGCTTTTCTACACTGAGTGAGTTCCAAGTTGGGCAAAATGAAGACAAGCACCTTTCATCAGTTCCCAGGTAGCCATGAGATAGGTTAGAACAGACAAACACAACTCTTTGTGAGTAAAGTCTACTCTGTTCTTTCCCAGCCCAGGGATGAGAGTACCATATTGAACACACAGGCTGTTTTCTTTAGGATCCCTGAAGAGCCTGGCCAGGGGATAGTCAAGAGCAAGTAAAAATGCCCTGAAATTTCCTTACCATTTTAAAGTTGACTTTTTCTTGATTCAGCATTTGTTTGCTTCCTATAAACCTTTGGCTGCTTTCCAGAGTTCTGATTAAGTTGATTCTGACAGTTTCTGCTTAATTTTTCAATGTTTCTGTGAAGGGACAGGCCATTGTAGATGCCTACTCTGCCATTTTCACCAACATCACTCCAAACATTTTTTATTGTTGCACAGCACTATTCTAGACTAGAAGATACTAAAATAATATTATTTACACCCATCAACATGCTCAATACGTTCTGGACTATAACTGACTATTCGGTATTAGACCAACTTCACACCATGAATAACCATAATGCTAGATTAAATCTGAAAAGGAAACAGTTGTACCCAAGAGTATCCAAAGTAGCCAAGAGAAATAGTTTAGGTATCTCACCTTGCATAGCCTAGGGATTTTTGTCACCAGAAGACTTGCTCTAAAACTTAAAAAAGAATGAAATAACTTCAGATATAGTCCTAGAAATGTAAGAAGTAATGAAAAGCAAAGGAAAGTGCAGATATATGGATAAATCTAAATAAATATTCTTGATGTAAAATAATATTTTGCTGGGTTTAAAAAAACAATTAAAATACACATGACGACAACTGTATAAAACTCAGGAGTTGATTACATAAAATTAAAATATTCTAAAGTTCTTGCATTATCCAGAACTATGAAAATTACTAATTTATTGTAGATTGTAATAAGTCAAAGATTACTTTTGTAATGAAAAGGTGAGCCATACATTAAAGAAAAAAAAATTCACAATACATATATCTGACAAAGGACTCATATCTAGAATATCTATTAGAAATCAATAAGAGAAAGAAAGATAACTTAATTCAAGCACGGACAAAGGACTTGAAAATGTATTTCACAAAAGAGACTATCCAAATGGGACATAGACATATTAAAAGGTGCTAAACTCATTTTGTCATCCAGTAAGTGCAAATTAAATCCACAATGTGATACCCCTACATATTTACCAGAATGTATAACATTAAACAAAAAACAGGAATATAAAACCATTGACAGAAAATCCAAATTCTAACAAAATATTTAAAATGATTTATTCTGAGCCAATATGAATAACCATGACCTGGAAAACATAGTCTCAGGAGATACTGAGAAAATGCGCCCAAGGTAGTTGGGTTACAGTTTGGTTTTATACATTCATGGAGACAGGAATTACATATAAAATCATAAATAAATACATGGAAGGTATACATTGGTTTATCCTGAAAGGTGGGACATCTTGAAGTGGGGGCTTACAAGTTGTAAGGGAGTATTAGGGATTCTTTAGTTGGCAATTGGTTGAAAGAGTTAAGCTTTGTCTAAAGTCTTGTAGTCTGTAGACAGGAATGCTTGAGTTAAGATAAGGGTTTCTTCTACCTGTCATGTAATGCTATACCAGAATCAGGCTGTAAAGTAAGCCACACTATACTGGATTAATAAAAAAAAACTAATGAGATTTTATGGCTTGTAAGGCATGATTCACCAGGCCTCTTAGACAGGAATTTGGGCAATAGAAAAACAAAAAAAGGTTAGAGTTCAGTCCTCAATATCAAGTGTTGGCAAATATGTAGAGACATTGAAATTTTCATTCACTGTTAGTGGGTGTGTAAATTAGTACAACCAAAAAAACCATTTGGCAGGGTCTACTACTGGTAAATATATGTATACTCTGTAACATAGCAATACTCCTAGGAATATACCAAAATCAAATGTGTAACTGTGTGCATGATAAGACAGTTACAAAAATATTCATAGCAGCATCATTTGTAATTATACTGAACTTTAAATAACCTAATGTCGAGCAATAGTAGAATAGATAAAGAAATGTTGGAATTATATGCCAAAATTAAAACGAATAACATATACTAAATAACATACTATGTTCTTCAATATGGATCAATCTTACAAATATAATATGAAGCAAAAAGAGCCACACAAAAGTACACACTATATGCGGTTATTTACAAATATTCCAAAGCAGGCAAAAGTAATTTGGTAGTAAGATTCAAAATAGTCACTATCTGTGTGTGAGAGGGTGTAATGACTAAGACTGAGCATGAGGAAATCTTCTATATTTCTGGAAAACATTTAAAATTTTTGTATGGGTTGTGGTTACAAAAGTTTGTTCACTTTGTCACCAAGATATACACTTAAGGTCATTTTATTTCTTTTGAATATGAGTTATCCTTTAAATTTTCTTCATACTCATCAAATTTAAAAATATTTTAAAAATAGTATTTTATCAATTTGGCAAGGATACAGGGAAAGGATTGCTCAAACACTAGGAGTGGGAATGTAAGCTGTAACAAGTACTTAGAAGAGCAAATAGCAGAATCTACTAAAGATTTAAAATGTGGATACTCTATGATCCAGTACATCCTCTTGTTGGTATCTCTACCCTAGAAAATACTTGGACATAAGTACAAAAAGACACCTACGCATTTTGTTTACAGTCACATTGCTTCTAGTAATACTAATTTTTTTAAAAAAACAAACTACATGTCTGAAGGCAGGGAAATGGTAAATTAAATTATACATATATTGGTTCTGAGAACTACTATGTGGCATTTAGAAAGAACACGGCAAATTTATACATAGATACGGAAAGGTTTCAATGTTGAGTGTAAAAAAGGTAACATCCACACATGTAAGTGCTTAGGAACCAGGAGCCATCATCTGGGGTGTGGGTTTGTAATCAGTGCCTTAAAAGGATAAGGCAGATTAGCATAATCTATAATGTTTACATTTTTGGCATGGACATTATTTTTTCTGTGTAATTTAAAATAATAGCACTTAGAATGATTTTGGAAGAATATCCAACACTGGTTGCCTCCAAGAGGCGAACTGAGCGCCTGAGGAATGGGGATCAAAAGAATTTTCACTGTATACCCCACTGTACCTTTAAAAATGGGAATGATATAACTGTAGCATCTATTGAGAAAAAGGTTTAATTAAATTGTACATAAATTAAAAGATGACCAACTTCGTAGGAAAAACAGACATGCTAATACAATTAAATGTGACTACTGTTAAGAGGTTGCATTTATGAAAGAGGAGAGCAAAGATCTCCGGAATAAGTCTGGGGGAACTGAAAATTCTGAGTGTAGGAGACGCTGGAGCTGAGTCCCGGCATACAAACGGAAGGCCCTACGTTTTCATTACTGGAGAGCTCAGAACGAGCCGCCCAGAGGCACTGAAACCCATTGCCGTTATTTTTTTCCACTAGCCGGAGCCTAAATACCCACCAAGTGACTGAAAGAAGGCGGAAGGAGCAGAATCGTCCAAGACCAGGAAGCACATGCCTATTATAACGGTGTGACGCAAAATGAGGGAAAGCGCTGGGCTTTCAAAGCCAGAGTCCCAGATTTCCCACCCATTCCTCCGGGCAGGCCAGCCCACCCTCTTTCTTTTTTCCGCGTCGCTTACTGGTCAGTATATGACTGACAGATCTTCCGACCAATCGGTTCGTTCCGCTACGGGGGCACTCAGGTCCCAGACGGGTCCTTGGTACCTCGAGCGAGATGCGGACCCTGTGCGTCGACGTCAGCGTGCTGACGTCACGGGTCGGGTACTCGAGGAGGTCCCGGGGCCGCTGACTGCAGGCGGTGGTCCGCGCGTCGCCTGCTGGACTCGGTGCTGGGTCCCGCCCCAGTGAGCCCCGCCTTTCCACCTGGGGCGCAACCGCGGAGCCGCAGTCCCGGGGCCAGCGTAGGGCGGCCGGCCGGGAACCACCCGATGAGGTAGGTTGGGTTTCTGGTCACCCTATTTGACAGGTTGGAAAACTGAGTCTCCAGATGACTTGCCTGGTACTCACAGGAGACCAGAGGACCGAGGCCATAGCCCAGGCGTCCCGTTCTGTTTACCGAGCCCTGCGCGAGTCTCCGGGGAAGGAGGAGGGGCGAGGCAGGCTGTGCTTATAATGGATACAAAAGTGAAGTTGCAGAATCCTGAGCCTCGCTGCTCTCAGGGCTTGGGCAGGGATTCAGGGATGGATGGCAGTAATGATGTCCCCATTCCTCCGGCCTGCGGATCCCGATGAGTCCTTCGTGGCATCCAGCCCCGTGCTGGCGCCATCGGCCCTCCAGAGTGACCAAGAATGGTGACCGGGGGTGATGCGTGGTTGTCCATACAGTCGGTTACTGGCCTCTTCTGTTCATCAAAATAAGTCGTATTCAAAGCAAAATAAAAATTTAAGCACGAGTGAATGTTCTGGCTATGGTTTCATTTCACTGCTTTGCCCACTCATGGATATCTTGACATTTTTTGAAATCTTAGTAGAGTGCTTACTTTTTGATTTAGGATTAGAAAGGGATTTTTTTTTTTCTCTTAGTTCAAACACAGGTTGACATTATGGAACTTTTCTTACCATTCTGTTAATGTGGAAGTTCATCATGTCATTTGTCTTCTGTTTCACAGATGGAATCACTAAATTCATCACTTGACTCAGTAATAGTTTGGATAAGTTTAGCAAGGTAACAAAGTAACAGCTCTAACCTTTAAATATATTAGTATTAATGCAGTTTGTTGTATCATAGTTCTTTGTTGGGAAGGGTTCTGAAAGAGAATTCCCATCCACATACCATCTACCCATACACCTCTTTCTAGAAGCAGGATCTCAGAAAACAATTTATGATATCCTTGATTTTTTTAATATATATTCTGATAAGATGGTGCATTATTCGTATTCATAAAATGAATGCATGCACCATACAATACGTTGTCATGAAGAATGTATTCTCTTTAAAATCTTGCTGTCTCAAACGTGGACCTTTTAAAACTTCATTATTGCATTGTGTAAAACTGCATTAAAGAAATTAAGTTAAAATCACTTCTGAGGACTTATGTTCACAGAAGGATGGTGATTATTATCATTTGAATTTATTCATTGGACATTTTATCTGATGAGTGCGTGTCTATGCCATACATTGTCTTAGTTGTTGGAGATTGAATGGTAAACAATTTAGGTAAGGTCCCTACCCTCAAAGACCTTACATTTTGGTGGGGATAAAATAAATATGTAAATCAAAAAGACTATTTTAGATGGTAGTAAATGCTAGAAAAGATATTAAAGGGTAAAGAGCTTGAGTGTAACTAGGGTGTGTGAGGAAATTTGGATATGGCAGGCAGGGAAGACTTCCCTGAGGAGGTGAGGGCTTGGGTGAGAGCTGAGTATTTAGATGAGTCAGCCATTGGAAGATCTGCTGAAAGTTTCTAGGTAGATGTAACAGTGCAAAGGAGCTAAAGGAAGAATGAGCTTGGTGTGTTACAGGATGAAGGGAATCCACTATGGCTATAGCAGAGTGAACTTAGGAAGAGTGAGGTGGAGGGACAGTGGTGGGAAGTGACACTGGAGAGGTGAGCAGGAATTGGATCATCTGTATCACATGTGAGAATTGCAGAGAGACAAGGGGAAAATGACTGGAATATTGCAAGGTCTTCCTTGATTTTTAGTGACACTCAGACTCTAACCAACATTCTGTTTTGTTTTGATCAAGAAATCACTGCAGTAATTCATTATATATA